AAACTTTATTACAATTTTTCATTAAAAATAAATAGAAAACAATCTTATTTTTTTAAGAAAGCTTGACTTTGCAGTTTAACTGGCCCTTTCCAGCTCACAAATCACAAATTTATCACAAATTGTGTGAAGAGAAGCTTAAACAGCAGCTTATTTCAAATGAAAGACGATGACTTCTAATTTGTTAAATTGCAGTGTGATTAATTTGCTCAATAACTGTATGTTTTGTCTCCTAGAATATTGTTTATAAGTTTTTGCAGATCACCTCTCAGAGAAAAGTTTTTTTTCCCCCTAATTTCAGATGCATACTCAGAGTATTTTATAAACACACCCAGGTCTTCCTGGCTCAGAAAAAAATAGGCTGTATCACTAATACTTTGGCTTCCCATTCCGGATTAAAAGAAAAATCCTCATTTTATTAGTGTATTAAAGGCTCAGATGAAGATTTTTATCTGTCTAGATTTGCCATCTTTGAATGTCATTATTTTTAAGTACTTTTCCCTTTTGGAATCCAATCCAGATTGAATAATATTTAGTTATTTATTCTACAGAACAAACAATCCAGAACTGGAAAAAAGTATGTGTGAGTTCACCTTAAAATTTCCCTCCCTCTGCGTGTTACTCCACATACCAGTTAAATGGATATTTCAGTCTATTGCACTTTCAGGTCAGGACCAGACCTGTCAGTCACTGACAAATAAGGGAACGCCCCCATCCTGGAATTTCCTTTTATTTAAGGCCATTTTTGCAAGCAGAATAATTCTGCGAGCTATTTTTTTGTTTTGTTTTGTTTTGTTTTTCCTCTATCATTTATTAAATTACAGATTATGTTAGCTTTATTTTGGGGAAAAGCCTCAAACAAATTTAAAATGCCATAATTATTTCTACAGCTTCTGAAAATGGGGATAACGAATCCTGAACAAGACAACCCCAAATCTCTCTATATCTATCAGACTATGGAGCTCTCTTTGTTGCAAGGTACATTTGGATTTTATTATTCAAAGAATGGATTTCCCTCCCTATCCAGGAACATGGAGTCCAGGTTTACAGACAGATACATTAAAATGTAATCTTTAAAGCTGTTCTTTAATTTTTTTAGTGAATGTTGTCCCCCAAAATATTTTGCAACTTGGTTGAAGTGGGAAAAAGATAGGTTTCAGGAATGGTTACTGTCATGGTTTGTTGAAAATAGCTCCCAGATAAACTCAGAAGAGATCATGGTTGAGCTCGGACACTCTTCTATACCAAAATGTCCCTGGAGACTATGTCCCTTTCTCCCTTTAAAAGTGGTAGCTAAAACGTAGGCTTTGCCCAGCCAGTGCACTGCTTATTGGCTTCTTTCTGGAGTTCATGAGAGTATCAATGATTTAATTGATAAGAATTAATATAATTAAAGAATTTTTTTTAATCTGGTTGATTTATCAACTGATGATTTCTGCCATCTTTCAGCTTGCTTCTCTCTTTTCTCTGTGTTGTTGCAGGCTTTTTTTTTAAACTCTCTTTTCTTTATTCTCCTCTCTTTAAACCTGTTTTCCTCTCTCTCAGCACAAGCCCTGCCCTGTGATATTGGCTGGTTCATCTTCTCACTTCTGACCTTCACATCCTCTTGTCTGTGCTGGGAACGCCCCAGCCCAGCTTCACATCACCACTGTGCCCTAGACCTTGTATCTCCCCATGGAAATCACCTGCCTCTCCCTCCAGTTTACAATCTTGTATGGCTTTTTTCTTCCTTTCCTATTCTAGAGCTATTTTTTTCTTTTTCCTGTCATTTACAGGACTACAAGTGCACTCTCTTCTGTCCCACAAGCTTTCTCTCATCTTACCTGCCTTTCAATTTTTTATTATTTTCTTACTGTGTCCTCACAGTAAGATGTTTTTGCTGTCCCTGATTTTAAAAACTCTCCTCCTCCTCTTTCTCCACACTAGTTTACATTATTTTTTTCTCTTAGTGCACTGAATGAACATTTCAGTTGCTCCATGATATTTCTCTAGCTTCCTACTTATATCTTCTTCTGGGGATTGTATGTGACTCTTTATCTCTTGATTTTCTCACAATTCGATTTTAAATTTCCTTTTTTTTCTTTTGCAGCAGAGACCATCCTATTGACCTAGATTTGCAAAGACCTGAGCGTGATGTAGTTCCATGTCTTTGGGACAAGTACAAAGAGTAAATAATGGTAGAACGATGAAATTAATACTTTAGTACTGCCATCTGTTGGCTCCCTTTTACCACGACACTTCAAATTTGAATAATTTTGAACTGTTTCCGTTGCTACTACTGAAATTGAATGTATTACAGTAATATTTATATTAAAGATATCAGTATATTAAGGAGTACTGAAAATATCAGAAATCTTTATGTTACTTTAAAAATAACAGATTTGCTTCCTTCCAGGTACAAGATATATGTCTTTCGCTTCACAATTTGCTTTATAAGTCACATACTGAGTTTGAGAATTAAAGTACTGGAAAATCAGGGCATTCTAGAAATAACTCATCTACATTACCTGAATGATGTGTAGTTTTTATAGTATATTTATTCCTACAGAGCATCCAATACTTGAATAAAGCATGCATATACATGCAGAAGGGAAATGTGACAATTTGAGAGTGATCTAAATGTGCATGTGATGCTTTCCCTGACTGCTCTTCCAGCTTTCAGCTCGTTTTGGAGAGTCCTGACCCAGAATGAGATTATATTTGATAGAGTAATTGGATTTTTTTTCTTATGAGCACATTCAATGTCTCCTTGAAGTCTATTATATAAAGAGCTCTGTGATATTTTTTTTCTTTACATGTTCTTCACGATTTTTTCTTTTCAGATTTTTCTGTCTTTCATTGCTTTGTGTTTCTTTACCTTGTTTCTGTGATATAGTGAAGCTTATAAGGGTTAGGTTTATGGACACATGATAAATATTTTGTAGTTGAAACAACTTGCTATTTATATTTCCCATTGTGGTCTATCCTAAACAGTGGCAGGATTAGCTACCTTTTTAGTCCAGCAATTCATATATGACAAGAAATTATGGAAGTCTATCCAGGTGTGAAGCCCAATTAATTTAATACATAGATGTGTTAAAAAAAGATTTTGAAAGGAAAAGTAGACAAAGTATTGAAGAAACTGTGCTCAGTATTTCAGTAATTAAATTTACTGTCATGTGCTGAAATACTAACCAGAATTCTAGGAAATGCATAAGTGCATTATGAGTTCAAGGATGGAGCACTAATCAAATTTTTAATTGAAATGACTGATGTAAGCAGAGCAGGGACCTTGGTTGCCTCTAAGGATATGAAAGTCTTCCCAAATGGTATCCTGACATGGATGTCACACTAAAAGCCTGACTTCTGAACTTCTAAAAATGAGGGTAAATGTCAGAGGAAGACCAAGGGTCCTCATTTACAAGTGAAATGCATTTTTTTAATACTACAAGGTGAGATGGATTGGTGTGTTTCATACCAATTTCAAAATTGTTCACACTGGACACAAAACTTACTAAAGTACTTAAATTAACAGGGTTTAACTGATGTATGAACCTTACACAAAATCTCTGCAAAGGCATTGATTTTGCTTATCTTGACATTTAAATATGAAAAAAAAAAAAAACTATTAACAGTCAACATAATCAATCCTTCTGAAAATGATGAATGAGATGAAAATACAAATCCCCGGTTACAATGACTGTAAGTTAAACAGCAGCTGACTTTTCACTCACTACTGTGAAAAATATTTTCCTTTGACCTAGGTACTGACTTTTTTAAAAAAGGATGTTATATTTTTCTTACAAAAAGTATATTATTGTTGTATCTTTAATGCATTTGGCTTTCCTGTTCACTAGGGGATTTTCACAACCCTGATCATTTATTTTAGTACTTCATAATTGAACCATCAACACATACTTAGCAATGAAATTTAAAACAGAATAATCAAAGAAAATATTTAGTTATTTTTCATTTATACTCCTTGTAAGTGACTAGAAGCTAGAATATTTAACGTGTTTTAGTATTACAAATAAACAGAAATTTGCATCTGACTGCAACTACTCTGGCAACTCAGAGTCTGCACATACCTGCGAAGTGTGATCTACTAGCAGAAAATATACACATAACAGAAGAATACTCAACAGCAGTGACAGAATAGAAAAGCTTTCCAAAAACCTTTTGTTAAAATTTTGCTGCTTAGTTGAAAAGCTGCTTGAAATAATTTTGGCCTCTTTTGAATTTTCTCATTTCTGCCAGCAGTTAGATCTTACCCTAGGAGTCCGAAAAACACTTGAAAGGTGCAAATATGTCTTTGTAATAAATAGCTATTGTGCTGTCCACAATTGTTATTATAACATAAATTGAAGTGCAGGTTCTTACCGACCTTTCGACCTCCTCTTTAAATTGCTGAATTATCAAACAATATATATTTTAGGGAAAAGCATACACTTTCTCAGAAGTGAGCAATATATAGTTTGATTTAGCATGTTGTTAAGCTGAAAACAATTGCTCTGCTTAAACTCAGGAAAATGAATAAATTTCTAAATGCTTCAATCTGCAACTACGTACATAGGATTTATACTAAACTAACTGTAAACACTTTGTAAAAATTCCTAGTGGAAAGGAATGGAATATTAAGAATATTAAGAGGCAGAAATTGAGTTTGTTTAAGTTGCAATGAAAAGAGTTAAGAGGTAAGCTAACAAAGTTGCCTGTAGTATAAGCAACTTTGGTTTGTTGCTTGATATTATTTTGATTATTCTGTCAAAGCTAATACAGTGCATAAACACATCAAGTACACCCTCACAATGTTGTTACTTTCAGAAAACTGCAAAAACAGATACAAACTTAATAAAATAAAGTAATAAACAATAATTTGTGTGACTTGAGTGGCATGAGTGATTATTATCTTTGATTCCAAAAGAAATTTCTTATTGTTGGAGAAATGTTAGCCCAAAGATTAAGGATAATTTGCAGAGGATAATACATGGGCTACAACTGTTTTTTTTTTTTTAAATACTTACATGTCACTGGCAATGGAGGAGTTCCTGGACATGGACTTTGGAGAAAGGTCATAGTCACTGTCTGACCGATAAAGGAAAGACTCCCTACGTTGACTATGGACAAAGTTTGCCTGAAGAATTAGCCCTGATCCAGGGCTTGTCATGGGATCCAAGGGACTTCGTCCCGATGATGTGCCATTGTCTACATCGAAACTGCAAAAAAAAAAAAAAAAAAAAGATGAAAAGGTTTATGCTATTGACATATGAATTTTGTAATGAAGTAATGAACACTATTCTGACAAATTTAATGCTAGGTAATTGCTTCTGTTAGAACCTGTCAATTCCACTGCTGAGGCAGTAACAAGGGGCACAAGAAATATACTGCACAATTGCTGGTAACCACAAAGGCCAAACAGTCTGTAGGAAAAGAAACTTGAGAAAGGAAGAAGCCAGTATTTGAAATATAGAATATATGAGTTTACAAGCATGGTGTCTATGAGCTTTAAACATGAAGAAATGTGTCTTCAAGACACATGAAGAATTGTTGTCTTCTTCCTCAGGCCCCATCTCTCTTGGTCTGGCACCCTCATGACCCTGCCTCCCACTCTTTTGTTACTGAGTAGTTATCCATCACTCATACTTGATTAGTACTCAAACATTTTGAGAGCATATTTTGCCTTTTCTCAATGATTATGAATGAAATGTTGGAGTATGATCAAATGCTGGATTATGATCAATGTGTGCATGTGTGTTTGGGCACATTTGTATGCACTAGAGATAGCTGCCACAGTACAACCAGAGCAAAGCAATGACTCCTGCCAGCAGAGTAACTTCTGCAGCTCTTCTAGCTGTTGCATTTGGTAGAGGGGTAAACAACTGCACTGTTCCTAGGGAACATGCTGTCTTGAAGCTGAGCCAGGAGAGGGAAAGAGAGAGGGGGGAAGTGTTCACGTAGTCCCTGACAGCTCCACAAAGGGCTTTGAAGAGCAGAACAAAGACCTTGAAGGGGACTCCGCAATCAGGGAGAAGCTGGTGTAGGGCAAGCACGGCTCAGATGATGTGCTCATGGCAACCTGTGTTGCTTAGCAGCCTCAGAGCTCCCGTATGCACCATATGGAGGCCTTTCGGAGTGGGTGGCTCAGTTGCTAGATTTAATGAGGTGCACTACGTAGTCTCAGAGGTCACATAAACGTGGATCAGCAAGATTATGCCTGCATCTGATAGGATGGCGCACATCTTATTCAGACAGAAATGAAAGACAGTTGTTCCTTCCTTGGTTGGCCATGTCTCTAAAAACTAACGGCAATTTCAGTTTTATAGTAGAAAAGGTGTGCATGAGACCTCGGTTTATAATTAATTTAGCTCCTTTGCAGTCCTCATGCAGGAATTCAAATATTGCTAAAGCTTTTAATAATGAGGGACAAACACAGGATTCATCACCATCTTTTAAATAAGGATACATGTTAATATCATATTTTTGCAACAAATTCATGTACAGTACTCATTTTGACAAGGCTGTTCACATAAAGGACACCCAGTGGCTTTTAATTATATCTAATGACAGTTGAAGAGTACACATCAGCTGTGATTAGACTTCAGCCTTGCACATGTTTCACAGAGGTACACGTTGCTACCGGGATTAACTTGTTTCTTGCTTTTACTCATCTTCCAAAACCAGAGTGAAAGCAAAATATTTTCCCTCAAAAAAACAAGAAAAAAAAAACAGGAAAAAAAAACAGGGGAAAAAAAACAGGAAAAAAACTCAACTAAAGAAGACATGCTTTCAGAATTGCTCGCTTCAGTAAATACCAATATCTATACTTCTTCCCAAACTTGTTTTCAATTGTGCCTGAGTATTTCTATGCCCTCAAATATCCTACTACTATAAGGCCTCAAATTGTCTCAAATTACCTGAACTTTATCCGTGCTAAGGAGCACTCTGCCACTAGTCTGTTGAGTGACAGTGAACAGCTCAAGGCATCTCTGCACTTCAGTTACTCTATCCATTCACCAGTGATAGAAACTTTAACCTCTTCAGGATTATTTCCAATCTAAATCTGTATTTTGTGATGCATTCATAAAAATATTGAAAAGGACTAGATAGTATTAATATTAAAGTAAAACATCATTTACAGCTATCATTAGTGACTATTATTACTATCAGTGAATATCTTCAAATTATACTTATTAAGGAATATTCTTTTACAGAGATTTGCTTAACATTGGACTTCTTCAGCCAACTAAATAAAATGTTTTTTATTGCATTAAAGCAGCACACAGATTTGTTTAAAGATGTGTTTTTCTTTTCTATTCTGTTATCAGTTTTATTTATCTCACTAAGAATCAACAGCATGTTTCAATTAATGATTTCATTGTTAGAGTCACAAATATTTCCTTTTTTAAAATCTTAAAATTTAAAAGCTAATTGAATAAAATGGCAGATTTGTCAGTTGTGTGAGGCCTTGTGACTTGTACTGCTGTATAACAAAAACACAGAAGATTTGTATATAGCTGTTTTGACCTGAATTTTGTCCTGTGATACTACATTATGTCCACTAGATGGGTGTCAAAAGTAATGAAATGGATCCAGATGTATCAGCTAGCCCTTGGCTCATACTCCTCAACCAAAATGTCTTTCATCTAAATATGAAAAAAGAAAAGAAAAATTGTTCAGTGCTACAGTCAAAGGGTAAATGTGAATAAGCACAGGTTTGCCAAATAGGTAAGTTTATATAAAAAGTCTGTAAGATGTTATGGCAGTTAAGTGTTTTATTTAGCTCTTAGTAAGACATTTGCCAGCAACACTTGCAGACACAAAAGACTATACAAAACTAAATGAAAAATGTCTTGAATTTTTCCCTGCTTGTCTTGAATCCCAAGGCTCCTCTGCAAGAACTGCAGTTACTGATCACACTGCACCAAGTGTGATCAGAGAGATTCAAAATGAAGAATTGTAGAATTTTACGCAAGTTTGTCTGATCTTTGTATATACCCTGAGAAATCTTAAGATACAGAATGGGACAGATTCCTCACTCTGCCTGGACACAGATTGCAGAAAATCAGCTGTATTTGCATCTTATTTACCTTGCCAATCCTTGGAAATTTTAAGCTGTAGCAGGGAATATGCTGTGAATATAAAATCTATGTTCAGTCACAAACTGAAAATAGTGAATCTTTATGCTATTCTCTCCCTACTATGCACCCTCTATCTCCTTTCACTTTTGGTGCACAGTACTTTTCTGAAAGGACAGAATAGTATGGAAATTGTTACTGAACCAGACCAGCTTTGCCACCCATTCCCTGTCAGAATTTGAACATTTAGAGAGAGAATTTTCCACTGGAGCTCTTCAACTTCCTTCAGGCACTTTGCACAATAAATGCAAAGCTAAGTTACTATTTGTGACAGGAGCACTTGGCACAGAAAGCCCCGAAGAACTGTCTATGTTCAAAGGACTTTGCTGCAACTTCAGAGGTGTTCTTCTGGATCCTACGTCTTAAAAGTACTGCTGCATTGGTAACACCACATAACATCTTTTCACAAGGTAGAAAAACCTCTGAGGACTTCTCTTTTAAGCCATTAAGCAATTATCTTGTAATTTCTGCCAGGTTGCCAAAAAGAAGAAAGAAGGTCAACATATGTACAAAATATCACATACTGTTCCTTAATGGTATGATAATGAATATGGACAAGAGCTCATAATTAAGGCTGCACAGAAAATCTTACTGCTGGCCATTTTTATTACTGAGGACTTAGCAAATTAATCCTCTTTGTAGTGTAGTTTTAGGGAATATCTGTAGAGAATTTAGCAATAGTAAAAAAAAAAGAGAAGAATTAAGTACACTCAAAAATGAATTTATGAATTTACTAGACTTTATAAAACACAGACTGCACTCTTGATATTAGGCTCCTCTACTAGTCTCTCCCCGCCCTTGATCTCTCTTATCTTGGACAAAGACAGGTATGAGCCAGACTAATTGATCCTCTAGGAAATACCTCATATTTTAAAACCATCTTTAACCATCATGGAGTGCCAAGCAAGATCTAGAGAAGGAAATTTCGTCTGCTTTCATGGAAATCTTGTCCTAGTGGCAATAAATTTCTCCAGCTACCTTTCCGCACAAATCATTTCCCCTACTCTCCAGACGCCCTGTCCTGTTTTTTTAACCTGGAAGCACAATCTCACCATCAGATAGAATGGGTACGCATTGCACGGCTGCTGCAATTCAGTTATCAAAGAAGTGTCATTCTGTACTAACTTCCTTCGGACAAACCCTCATTTACAGCAAGAGAAAAAAACCCAACAAAGTAATAAGATTTTATTAACCGCCCAAAATGTAAATTATTTCTCCATGGGCCCATAAGTATGCATCTACTGTGGAGGAGGAGGTCTGTGGACACTGGAGAAACTGAACAGCCAGATAAGCTCCTGAACTGCAGAATAATAATTTATTCCTTAAACTGTCCCGGGCCAAGACTCACCCTGCTTGGGGCAGACACAGCAGAGTAAGTCCTGATTGCTTGCTTGGTGTCCTGGGACTGAGAAGAGCAGGAAGCAGTGTCACCTGGCTGCCCCCACGGCATGCGGCAGCACGGAAAGGCCTCCGTGTGCCCATTCCTAGGTAGCTCAGTAGAGCCTCCAGCCTAGGAAAGGCTGTCATCCCTGTCACTCCTGATAAGGTTAGAGTACAGAAAGGCCACCGTGTGCCCATTCCCAGGTAGGTCAGCATAAAGCCACTTAGGAAAGGCGTATTAAACTGGATACGGTGCTCTCACACCCTTGGGTGTCCTGATGCTCGCGTATGCTGCACATCTATGTGTCTAAAATCAAAGCAAGACAGTTTACAGCTTTGCTCTTAGATTTATTGGCTATATTCTGCACTAGTTATAGGTTCGTTTCATATCTCAGTTATCAGGCCAGCTACTGTGATGCAGTCCTTCAGAAAATGTCTAATGACTCCCAAGACACCACGCCATTAAAAAGTTTTCTGTTACTGATTTTATTACACTGGTTTTAAAATCTCAATCAGAGAAGAAGAAATAGATGAATAAACCAAAGGGCTCTTCTTTCATGTGAAATAGAGTCTTTCTGCTAACAAAAACTGACTTTCCATTGACATATTTTAGGTAGTTAATTTCTGTCTATATTCTGTCTCCATATTTAAACTCTAACTACGTTCACTGAATTCAGTGCATTCAGCTGTCCAAAGACTTA